GGGGCGCAAAGGGGAAGCTCGAGCGGTCGATCGTGAAGCGAATCGAATTGATTCGAATCCACCTTCCCTCCCCCCCCTCCTACACTCTTCACTTGTAGGGCTTGAGCACAAAAGCGCAAAGCACTCTCCACTTCGAACCAAACTAACTACTGTAGCGTCGAGCACTCCGTTGCTCCGCGGTCCTGCCGAGGTAGGCAGTTGTAGACCGTTTAGTGTTATGCTGTGTGCACAGAACGAAAGGTCAGTGGGGATTACAAGAGATCTGCGAGTCTCGCCAGGTCGAACACTGGCGCGGAACAAATTCCGGTGGGACATCGTGGGGTTTTTCTGGATAAAGTCAAAATAGATTATGCTCTTTGTTTTATCTCGTCTCTGGCTATTTCAACTAGCGTCGGCAGATACTTGCCTATGACAACATGACAACATCGACTGACCTTACCCGACCTATCCCAGGGCAGAGGACGTAGGGGGCGGAGATGGTACTAATCTCATTCAATCAATCAACCCATGCATCCAATGTATCCAGACGTCGATCGTATACAAGTTTGGTCTCAACACAATCAAAAAATTAAACTTGTAACCTTGAACTTGACTCCCATCACATTCATCCGCCACCTATAACACAGGTACTATGTAAGGCCAGCAAGACAATCAATAACAGGTTTACTCCGTAGAAACCGGCAGTCTTAGTCCGTGTGCCGATCCGGACGAATTCCTCTCTAACTCGCACCAGTCAGGGCCGCACAGGTGATAGAATGTGCATCGATCTCTCCCAGCGCTACGCGACCCGTACCATAACCTCGGATAGGTGCCTACATCCTCCATCTACATCCTGACTCGCCATCTCCCGGACATCCCACCGGAAGAGGAGAAATTATAATCAATCTATTCAGCCTTGGCACGACCATTCTTTTTTCCTCGTCCATCTCTATCCTCCGGATCCCTCAAAAATAAGCCTCTGAGCTCAGATTGATCTCATCTAGCCCGCCATGAGACCTCCAACCACCCCGCCCGAACGGCCCACTTGCCCCAAACGTCAATCCTTCCGCCAATACTTGTAAAGTATCAGCGCTAAGAGCATAACCGTTATTGCACAATAACCAATCGACTAGCCACAGCACGCCCGAGTAGCATTTACGAGTACGTCAGACAAGATTGGTATATCATAGTGACAGGTCTTGTCCATCTGCTCGACCTAATTGCCAAGCGGATGTGGAGGTTGGAAGGCGTCCGGAGTGCGATGCGATAACGTATGTCCTCGCGTGGCCTGTTTACGGGCATGACTCGTAGAGATGCATGCCATTTGTTTATAGCCGGAGCTCTGTGTTTCCCTCCCTTGGATACTACATACATATGTATTCCCAAGTCTTGGCATGCGGCTTGGCCAGGTTGGATGGTCGGTACGGAGTATGGATTACACAAGTACTGTATGCATGTTAGTGATGGGTGCTTTGAGTGGGTTTACCTCCGTGTGCACAAAAAAGTATCTGGTGAGAGATTTTGTATACCTGAATGGAGCACGGGGTCATTTTATACGTAGAATGAGAGCATGCGGTGTTCTGCTACGAGAATATACCCAGCCCGTCACGGACCACTTTGATATAATGAGTATACCTGTAAAACTTTCAATTATGACTACTAGTAGGTATGGTATATGGTTTGATTCTTGTCTTAGATTGAGTATTTTTCCCATGAGATCTAGATCCTAGAGAACTCATTTCATTACTTCGGCTTGGTGGAACCATTTTGCATGTGCGAAGGACTTGTTAAGTTGTAATGTCCGAACAAAGTACTCCGTACTCCGTACATCCCTCGAACATGGAATTTCCATCCTTCTCCTCTATCTCTTTTCGGCCCGCTCGCATGATCCTATGTATGTATACTCCGTACTTCATTTCGAAGCTGGAAAAGTACTCATCCGCAGAAGATTTAGTATCCCTACGCGAATCAGATCTCTACGGCGATCCAATGAAAAGCGAAAAACAAGAATTAGGAAGCCTAAACCAAAGGAATCAAAAACAGGAAATAGTAAATGCGGGGGCGGCTTTCCTCCCGTCCATCCACTTTCCTTCTTTTTTAATTTCTTTCTTTGTTCTATGGACGGGTAGCATTGGATTTTGTTAGTTTATTTTCACTGTTTTAAGTAATTGATATTCTCGATTCTCGGCTGCTCCACTCAATTTATGAAGATCATTCGACCAATTTGATTTTCTTTGTTTGACGCCCCCTCCTCCACCTCCGCCCCCTTCTTTCCTTACAGAGTACAAATGATACCATCGAAGGATCCCGATCTCTCTGGCTTGATTCCTCTCTTCTTACTGGCCACGCCAATCCTACCACGTCCGGCAATGCGGGAAATCCCGCTGCGAATCTTGGATACGCGCGGGTCCACACAAGAAAGGAAACGGAGTAACGCAAACTCCTACGGAGTACTCCGCACTTAGTAACTGAGGGTTAGTTAGTTAGTGGACGGCGCATGTTGCAGGGTTGGACTGGGAGAAAGTGGATTCGATTAAAGTACGGAACGGGCTGATCTACGCCAGCCGAGCGAGACATGGGGGCGATAAGTCTAAAACGCATCTTCTCGCGGGTAAATTGAACCAGGGGCTAACTAGGCTGGTCGTAATAATGTGTGTGTTCGGCTCCGCGGAGGTCGAGTACGAGAATGAAGACTGAGGAAGGACGGGGCACTCCGTTCCCTTTCGCCCGGCTGTTTTAGAATGTTAGACTTCAAGTTAGGCTTGAAAAAGAGGAAACGAAACGAAATGAGGTCGGAAACCTATCTCCGTTGGTCCCTGCTGTTGGCCCCTGCTCTTCTCTGTCACTCATTGCTTCAGCCATGGAGGTTAGTCAAGTCAAGGCGTTGCTCAATTCTTGGGCCCCGGTGAGTGACAGGATGGTTACATTTTCAGCACACAAAGATACAAAATACGCCGTACATCTCAGCTCATGTCAGCCCCTCTTCGCCCCTAGCGAATGATGAAAGGAGATGGGGTTGAAGAGATGGAGTCGTGATGGGGGGGATGGGTGAACCCGGGCAATCACTGCGTCATTGGGGGCTTGCGAGGGGCTGCTCCTTTTGAATCACACTCCTCTCTCTCTTCCCCTCCGGCGAATTGGAAGGGTTGTGGCCGCCGAATATCGCATAAAGAAATATTGGATTTGACTTTCGTCGCCCCCAAGACCGAGACGGATAAAATGTTTGCTACATTGGATTGCGCACTGTGCTGATTGTGGCGCTGATGGATGGATTGAGATGAACCTCGTGCAAGTCCCTGGCCTGTTTTTCATTTTTTCCATTCTTGCTTTTTCGCTTTTCTCACTTTCTTTTCCATATTCGCTGTGCGTCTCTCGATCATTTGATTCCATCAACATCTGGAATCGACGGAGTAGCTGCAGCCCTTTCCGTGTCGTTTTGACTAGATTTACCTTTAATATTTTACATTGAATGTACTACCTGCCCACGACAGGTATGTGATTTGCACTTCGATATAAGGGGGCAATATAATGTCCAAGAAACGTACACATCTTGCGCCGTAGCCAGACATAGAAATGAGCTCCAGTCCTTTTGTCAAACCGATCAACTCAACCTCCGTACCCTGACTGTACACCCATAGAAGGCCCCGAGGCAAGACACTGGCAGTTTTAGACGCCGAGATTATTTCCGAACAGAAAAGAAACCATATGTGGCGTCACGGTGTGTACTGCTTCCCGCTGGCATGTACGTCGATGCAATTCGTACGCGCAGAACTGGATCTTCATACACAAGTACTTACATCATCGCGTGAGTACGTTCGTACATATAGTACAAATGTAGGTACAGTAGCGGAGCTGTGACCCGTATACATACTTAAGTACTTATTTTCTGTACGGAGATGCTGCATAGTAATGCAGGCAGGGTAGGAGAGAGGTACTTATGTACGTGAGCAAACACCACACATTTTGCCTGTATCCCGAGGTCGTCAAGTCTGAATAATGAGCAGAGTGATGTGGCACTTTCTTTCCTTTCTCTGCGGTCGTTCTTGCTGGGAGGTCTGTATTTCGTTGCTTTTTTTCGCTGCTAACTTTACCTGAGAGTACTCCGTACTCCGCAGGGGCTGGTTCGACATGTACGACATGCGGGATATTGATCACTTACTGCACCTGTACAGAGTGTCGATGATCTGGATAGGTAAGAAAGACAGAAAGGAAGGAGAAAAAAAGGGGTTAGATGACATCATGCAGCTACTACAGATGCAGATGGCTCGACTTGATTTGACTTGACTTTGGCTTATGGTCGCACAAGAGCTGAAATGGCAGCTCGAGAACCCTTTTATTTCCAAGTTGTTCTCCTGCTGTGGCTCTGGTGAGGCGTCCAAGTGTTATTTCTACGGTCTGCTTATTTTCATGGCGACTTTCAAATTAAAAGGAAATATACTAGTAGTGACTGTCACGATGTGTTTGCATTCCGTTTGCTGGGAAGAGATTGTATTCGAGTCAATTTCTCCATCGGCCTGAAATTGAATGTCATTTGGCATGAGCAGGCTCAGGAGTACCTAGTCTAGTACTTGCTAATAGGCCTCCTACCTGGACAATCTTCACAAAATGCCCTTGGATCTTAACGATCTCAAAGTAGACGTTCAAACATACTGCTATGCGCTAAGTGGATGGACACCGGTCGTGTTACTCGACTTCCAGTAGCAGTGAGAATTGCCCAAAAATGCTTCTTTTTTTCGGGCTACTCTAGGCTATGCAGATGTAAATGCGAAACTTTCTATCATACAAGTGACGCAAGTCAACTTTGAAGGGAACACAGAACGGGAATACATAGTAAAGGGAGGAATGATCGAGGCCCACCGGGGGTTGGCGTGATCCTTCGACGGCGCTAAGGCCAGGCCGTAAGGATTTTCTGGGCTCGGGTAGATGAAGGTCGTGTCTCATCGCCCCCTTTGCGATGTGAAAAGAGAGAGTCAAGGTGGGCAGCAAGTTCCTCTACGCCGGCGCAGCGGAAGGGCTCATTCTCACTCTCTCGGGCTCGGGATGTGCATTTGCGAATGCGATGGATGCGGATGGGAAGGATGGGGCTGCGATGAATGAGGATGCGATGAATGGGGCTGGGAAGGATAGGGCTGCGATGGATAAGGCTGCGATGGATGAGGCTGCGATGGATGAGGCTGCGATGGATGAGGCTGCGATGGATGGGGCTGCGATGAATGGGGCTGGGAAGGATGGGGCTGCGATGGATGGGGATGGGATTGATGAGGGCGCGTTGGCAGAGCGGGCCTCTGCTCTCCAACTGGGGGCGCCTCAATCTTCAACGGCTCGTCCCCTTCATCCTCATCGTCGCTAGACGATTCGGCGCCACGGTGACCGCCGCGTTGCTTCTCCTCCATTCGTCGACGCTTGTCCTCGATTTGTTCCTTATGACGGGCATCTGTTGCATACTTAGTGAGTGGCTGTTCACAAACTGGATTCTCGAAAGTTGTTGGCAGAGACTTACCTCGGATCTCCTGGGTCTTCACAGCGTACATCTGGACCTCATCCTTTGACAATACCCGCAACACAATGACATATTCCGATCGGTTTTCATACCGCTCATTTCCTGCATCCAATGCCTCCGGGTTCACCAATCTCCGATCGATCTTTGTCCACCGCGCATCAGGTGGAATGCCCTGCTTGTTGGCATCCTTCAAGGGAGCCACGCCCTCTCTGATTGGATTGGGTTCCTCGGGGAAACTCTGGCGGGGGGCCTTCAGAATACCCTTAGGTGCAGATTCTGGCTCCTTCTGCGCGGCCGGCTCGACGGTGATAGGCTTCCTCACGTCGTCTCGGCTCTGCGAGGGGGAGGGGTGGGAAGACACACTTGAGCGATGATCCTCCAGCATGCGCTGTGATCGAGAAGACCGGTGGCGGGAACGGGAACGGTCTCGAGGCTGATGCCTGGATCGCTCATCGCCGCTGCTCGTATCGGTGCTGCTGTGTCTGCGACGAGCAGTGGCGGACGGTTCATGACGGTATTTCCGAAGATCATCATCGTCTGTGTATCCCTCAGAGTCACTCTCTGAGCGACGTCCCGAGCGCCTGCGGGGTCGACTGCGGTGGTGGTCGCTCGGCTCTAGATATTGGTGCTTCTTTTTCTCAGGATTCGATGGTGCTGCAACATCGAGGCCTCTGGTGGTGACGTCTCGGGATGAATGCTTGGGAGGTTCGTAATCACGCTCCGGGTCGTGCGAGCGTCTAGGCTGATTTCTCGATCGGTGATCGTAGTCCGACAGATCAGAGTAGCCAGCGCCCAAAGCGGCCGTTCCCAGTCCAGCTGTTGCTAGTCCGGCCGTTGCCAGGGCCATATCGCCATTGCCGTTGTGAGGCCGCGGGGAGCGATCATCCCGAGAATGACGGTCATTATCGCGGTGCGACCGGCCATGATGGGAGCGACGATGGGGATCATTGTAAGATTCATAGCCATCATCCGAATCATGAGGTCTAACGACCAACGAACGGTCATGGCCACTGCCCCTAGTTCGAGATGTGTCTCGAGTCCGAGAAGAATCTCTAGTCCGAGAAGTATCTCTCGTCCGGGAAGAATCTCTGTGAGGTCGTCCCTCGCGCTCAATCTTATCGAACCCCCCAGGAGGTGGGGGGAGGACCATGTTGGCGTTCCTTGCGAGGCATATACTGCGGATGCTCCTCCATCAGGTTCATACTGAGAGGTCGGTCAACAGAGGACCTGGTGGTGGGATGGCGGGGTTTGACAGGGTAGTCCCGATCGAATTGCTCTCGCGGGGTGGTATACGAGTATGCATCATATTTATCAATGTCATCGCCCTTCTTGAGGCCATCGTATGGAGGATATCGTCGGTGTCCAGGCGGAGGGTGGACCCGACGCGAGCCGTGAGATCGATGTCTGTCACTCTCGCGGGACTCTAGGCGACCAGTGTCGCTTGCATAGTCTGTGTTACTATAGACCCGGCGGTGATGGCCGGCATGGTGAGAAGGCGATTGGACGAGATGGCCGGATTCCGTGAGAAGAGGACTGGCAATCCGACCCGCGGTAGCCGGGCGAAGATGGGAACCCGAGGGCACGGCAATACGCAGCGGTTGATTGTGCAGGTCTGTTGCAGAAGTAGTGGTGTTGCTGCGGCTGCGACTGTGCCGAGTCTGAGGCTGGCTCTGACTCGAGCTGTGAGGCTGAATAGCATACTCTGTGCGCCTCTTAGAGTGGCCTGAGTCACGGTATGTCTGGGAGGAAGTCGGCTGGATGTCGACGGTTGAGCGATGTCTTGGCTGGTAGCGGTGGGTACCATAGCCAACATCTGAGGGGTAATAATCGTCATAATCCAAGTGGCGTCTGGGGTTTTCGTAGGGATCGTAGGAAGCAGAGGAGGGGAGCTGGACCATGCCAGTGGAAGACCGCGGACCAGAGAGATGGCCTTTTCCGCCGGTTGGTGATAGAGTGCGATGATATCCCATGGCTTGGGTTTGTCGTGGGATGGGAGTGGTCCAAAAGCGTGGACGTGGGACTGGGCGCTGAAAGGCGACCGGTGGTGCCGACTGAGTCGACTTGGTCGACGCCGCCGCGACGGAGGCCGGGGGATGAGGCTGAACGGTCGGCATTAGGACGGTTTGACTTGCAAAAAAAAAAAAAAGCGAGAAAAAGCAAAGCAATCACAAATCCCGATGTAGATCCATGGAGCACTCACGAGAAAAGAATCGATATCCTTTGAAGTATAAGTACGCCCAATGCGAGGCTTGAGCGATGGGGCCGGCGGCCGGGTGTGAGATGGAGCTACTGCCGGTACTCAGGGAGATTAGAAGGGGGCGGGATGATCAATTCGATACCGAAGGAGATGGGAGGTGGGGGGGGAAGGAGATTCGAAGAAAAGAAGAGGAAGTGAAACGAGGGAAAAGGGAGTTTCGACGAAGAGAATGACGCAAAGCGTGAAAGTGCGGGAGCCGCCCCACTCGGGCAGAAGAGTAGCTATGGTACTATAGTATAGTATACTACTATACTATACTTTACTATACTAAAGTATAGATATAGCTAATACTATAGCTAGATATAGCATAGCTATAGCTGTGCTATCCGTAGCTCAGTCTATACTCTCGTATATACCAGCTGTATATGCTCACCCAGACTCGATACTCGTAGTATACCTACAGTAGTAAGAGCCCCACTCACCCGGGCGTCGGGCAGGGAAGCCCGAAGCCCCAGGGGCTGAGCAATCCATTGTTTCCAGAAGGGATGATCTCACGGTGGAGCCGAGGATCACTGTCGAATAATCATATGATCCGAGGATTAGAATTGGCATGAATTGATCTTGTCATTGTTGATAGGATACCCTTTCTGGTAACTTGTATGGAATATTCTATGGAACAGATCTATGGAACCGGGGCGATATCCGATGTGCATCCATGGATCAAGTCAACCATTCTAGAAGACCCAACGTATTCTCAAGTTCATGCAATGCACTTCTTCCAGAAACTCCCGAATCCCACAATTCCACCCATTCCACCCATTACCCCCATTGACCAATCTTCATGCCCCTCTTCCAACCTCCAACCTCCCTGAAATATCTCCTAGTCCACTCCCAATGCAACCAACTTGAATCCACAAGGCCAATTTCCTTCTCCACCAGGAATAACGGAATCGACATCCGCGGACCAGACTGCCCCGATCCTATTATTCCCATTCCCATCGAGATGATCATCTTCCAATCATCCTTGACTTGAATCAATCCTTCTCTACTCTGCCTTGCTCTGGCTAGGGCCCCCCGCCCCGGCACCAACCGCCCCATCTTCGGTAGTCCAACCTACCACAACACATTCCAAGAGACGCATGGTGCATCACCCCCGTTTTAACAACGTTTTGGCACCCTCCGGCCGTTTCAATATCACTTGTTTCTATGCCCTCACCCTCACCCTCACCCCTCTGCCCCTTCCAGCCCCTCCTACCTACCCCTCTACCCCTCTTCCCGAGGGGCCGCACGCACGCACCTCATCGACATCGACATCGACATCGATATCGCGACGGACCCGTCCGTCCTCAACGTTTGATCCACGCGGCACAGCGGGAGGATAACCCCGATGGACATGCATCAAACTAAACACTAGCCTGATCCACATACCCGAGACTCGGGTTCACGGATTCTGGCTTTGCCCTGGCTTAGACAGGAGCCCTCTTCTGCTGTCGTAAAGCATGCTATTGGCTACGGCGTTCGCCGTCCCTTTTTACTTTTCACTTCTACTAGTCTCCCTTGGATACCTGGGTCACGGTATAGATATACACGCTGGATTGGAAAGCTGAAGGGCAGGGCGAGTCTGCGTCTTCTCGGTTGCGTTTTTCGTCATAACCTGCTTCCCTCTGCCCGCGCCCTCGCCCTGGCCCTGGCTCTGCTGCTCTCCCCATCCCCGACTCCCTCCAATCCCACTCACTCCCCACTTCTACCTCGCAACTGGAGCAATGCATATGATGATCACTAACCCCAGCCCTCCCCCGATTCCCGACCTAGTCCATGCAGCCTGACGCCAGGCATCAGGCACCGCGCCTGCGCCTGCGCCTGCGCCTGCTATTACCATTGCTATTGTTTTGCTCTTGCTGCAACAGCAGGAAATGCCGTTCCACCCGCGCGTCGGGACTGTCACTTGCGCCCCGGTTCGGATGCGTTGTTTACTTACCTGGGTGCGACTATGACTATAACGAGCCATGAAGCAGTGAACTCGGGCTCAAGAAATTTACCTGTTACTGGTTGTCACTGGTTGGGATAAACTTCGTCATTCTGCAGGTTTTGTGGATAGGGATAGCCGCTCAGCTGATACTCTTTTTTTTTGCTTCACTGTTTAAGGGCATCCGAAGCCCTGATGCGGATTCCATCACTGCCACGCTGCGAGCGTGGAGTCTTGATATTGGTTCTGGGAGAATTCCTGGGTCCGGGGTTTTTTGGATGGAGGGCTTTGGGTGCTGGCGATGATGATGGTTAGGGTGAAGTGCCCTGAAGTGCCCTCTTGGCTCGTTCTATATATACGCCCGGCGTCCATTTCTCCTTGAAGCTTTTTTTTCTTCATCATCCTTTTCTCATATATTATCATTCGAGTCGTTGATTCCAACTTTATTTTTGGTAGTACACTTCAGGCGACTACCAATTCTCATATACCATCTTGAATCAACTTGAACTTGAAGATTCTTCACTCAACTCAACCAGCATAATGGTCTACCATACTCTAAACAAACCACGCGCCGTGCATGTGGCCAGCGATGCCGTCCCCTCGAGCCCGAGTCCCTTTGCGGAAGTGGAGGGTCCCTCCAAGCCGACCATGAGCCCGAATCCTACCTTCCAGACCCCTTCCACCCATGCCAACAAAAAAAACAACCTCTCCGTTCACCGCGGCCGCCCAGTCATCCCAACCGACTTCTCTAAATTGCCAATTATCGACGTTCCACTTAAGGCAATGAATAATGTTTGGACTTGCTGCCAGTGCGATAACTTGGGCAATGCTCTGTCCCGGGAACGCTGCCCGATTTGCGGCCATTGCAAGTGTATGTACTGCAGCTAAGCTCGAGTCGGAGCCGATTGAATCCTCTTATGTGCGGGCGCTTGGACTTGGGCTTGGATTTAGGGTTGGGTTTGGGTACGGGTACGGGTACGGGTATGGGTATAGATATGGGCATGGGCAACGGCACCAGCATCAGCATCGGCATTGGGATTGGGATTGAAATCGGTATGAACGCCGAAACGGACATGGATAGAGGCGCAACATCATATGCTTTCCAGCTATACGGGTATGTCCGTGGCTGTTGATAATGCGCATTGGGATAGGAGCTCGACGGTATTTGGATTCAGAGATTGTTTGGCGTACTCGTACTAGTACTTTTGTTCCTTGTGATTATTTCTTTTGTTTCCTTGGATCGGATCTTGAATTTTGATTGTCTTTCACTTCTAACTATACGTCATTCATTTCCATGGGGTCACAGTGGCCCAACATTTTCTATCTCGGACAAGTTATAACACTCTTTGAAACGCTATTGCACTACTATGATTTAAGTATATCTATTGCATACGCTGGACTTCTGTTCGAGTGTAGCTGTTATAAAGTTCGCCATGTATGCACCTAAGCTGCATGTCTACGTGTTGCTGGTCTATAATAGACCGGTACCCCCACTAGTAGTACCTCTGCCATGAGCTCGGGGAGCAAAAGTCTAAATCAGTCATACGACTCGTCGAAGATATCGTGATTTTCAGAAGGCACACTTCTTTAGTCCTATATTACTACTAATACTAGTATGAACAACTACAGTTGTACGATGCTGCATATCTCTCCTACGACTTTGTACTTATGGTTCGCTTTCCCTAGGCCATCGCAAATTCACTCATCGGCAGCCCTGGAGTGATCATCACTTTGGGTTGATTTCATAGAGCTTCTACCCTTCTTCTTGTTTGTCGAAAGTTGATTCTATGCGATAACAATATCGAAGGTAAAAAGATCCTAACATGGGGGAGTCAATAAAGTAGCTTGCTGGTAGGTAACAGATACTAGACCAAGAACGACGCCGACTAGCATAGATAAAGTCCTCGCAATCTTACTCAAATTATCTCCAAGAACCAGGAGAATGAATGTGGAAAAGTTTTCAAACATTCCTCTAGAGGAGGTAGGAGGGCTAAGTTCGGGTTGATGAGTCGGGGAACCAATTTCGATAGTGATTCATTCATCAAGAGTACTACCTTTAATGCCAACGCCCGGTGATAGATAACATCGGAGGTCTAGAACAGTCCGAGGCTGATTTGACATCAAAAGCCCTACCCTGCACTGAACTTGGGCAAAGTCCAGCATTCCACATCAAGCCATTCTAGAACCCGGCCTGCAGGATACACTATACTTACCCCACAAGGCGAAGTCAAGTAACGGGGTGATCATTTCGCCAGCCTTGCATTCGTGTTGATCCACCAGTATCATGTATCGTGTCGCATGCACTGTACTGTACTCCATATGCACCTCTGCAGTCTGAGTAGAGTTCCCACTTGGGCGTAAGGCTGAGAAGATCATCATAATGCACTGGCAGTTAGCGCTTCTGGATGGAGTACTATAGGGTACCTGGCAGACATTCTTGAATGGAATATGCTATTAATAACGGAAACGTTCCGAGATGGGAATTTGTTTCCCTGTCCCTGTCCCTGTTGGTGCTGGTGTTGGTGTTGGCGTTGGTTAAACTCCCCCTGGCGCTTGTCAGCCCTACGCGTGGGGCGGCTGGACAGGTGGAGATTTCCACATTTCTGTATGGCTTACGGCTCTACGGCCAGGAGCGGACAACATGGTTGGGATTCACTTTCGATTGTTTTATTTTTATATGTTTATCAGTTTGGGGGCCCTTGGTGTTTGGGGGCCGGATTCATCGACCGTGCATACGACATGCATGACGTTAATACATAATTGGGGGATTGGGGGATGGTGGTGACACTGGAAACGAAGTTCGGGGTCTGGTATGTTTCTATTATGGGAAGCACGTCAAGGTCTATGTTTGTTGCTTCTGCGACTATGTTTAGAATGCTGCCGTTCGAGACCATTCTCGGGCGGAGGCAGTAACCCGGCCTCCTGCTTCAATCGTGTAACCACCGGGCCTAGGGCGAAGGCGCTCTCTTGGCTGCTATGGTTGGCACACGGGCTGTGTTTGAGCGGGAGAAACCAATCAATGATGTTGTTTCCCATGACTTGTTGCATGTTCTTGAGCGGGCTATCGAGACTGAACGGATTCTCGCCGGGTTGCGTGTGGAGGATAGCAAAGACGTGACGCTCGGCAACGGCGTGCTCGGTTGTCTGTGCTTGTGTTGGGGTAGATGATTCTAGAGGGTATGTGACCATGCGAAATGTGGGTGCCCAGGGCGAATCCATGGTGAAAAGTCGAGCCAATAGATGATCAGGGACGCGGATGGCCAATGTCCATACCACGGATCGACGGCTTAGATTCTCAATGGTTGTGAGATTGAGTGCGGCGAGTTGGAGGGAACTCAAGGTCATCCCGGCGGTAAAAAGACCAAAAAGACCACTCCTATGAAGGGTTAGAGAGAAGAACATCTCAAAAAAGGCATGACCACTTACAACCCGATACAAACACACCAATGCGCGTTGACGCTGCCAGTCTTGTAGGAGTCAGAAGATGTAATTAAGGTGGGAGCTATCGACGAGTCACTCACATTGCGTTTAAGTTCAGCTGTAAAATATGCAGTAACAATGAGAGCAAAGGTACAGAATGTAGCTGTATAATAGACGAATTGGATGAAGAATTTGAAGGATGTTTCCGAAACCACGCCGCCAACCCTGTGAGATAAGTCAGCGAATGAAGCTCCACGCAACGCCCAAGAGTGAGATGCATACCAAGGACAAAAGTGATCCATCTTGCGAACACAACGATCAAGCTCACGGCAGTGGTGCGATCGGTCGGCCTTGAATTGGCAACAAGCGGAGCAATAAGGCGGCCGCCCATCCTCCTGGCAAACAAATACATCCTTTGTATAGAAGCTCTCCAAGCCAGATGAATCTGAATCACAAACTGTCTCCCCAGCACTGTTGCGAGTTCCTTGCTCTAAGTCCACAGGCGCATCAACCTTCTCCGCATCGCGCGGCTTTCTTGAGCGCCGGCGCCGGCGCTGCTTTTGTGACTTCTCCGAATCCTCTGCTTTCTCGATCTTCACGCGATCCGCACCAAGAGGAAGGAAACCCGGGTTTTTGATGACATTATACAGTAGGCGAAGGTATGTCGCTATGAGGAGGATTAAGAGGAGGTAAAATATAACCAGGATGGCGGCGCCTGCACCGACACGAGGAGTGCGATTATAGGAGGGTAACGGATGAAGGAGATAATCAACTAGTAGCGGGCGGGTTAGCTGGGTTAGGCCGGTAAAATGAAGTAACCTGGGGGAATCCTCGTTGTGCGGGGGTGTTCTTCCAGGCAGATAAAATACTCACTGCATAAGGGTTTTGTGATGGCGTAGCTGGCGTAGACGACGATGCCGAGTAACACGGGCGGGATGATTCTCGAGACCACCAGGTTGGCGCGTTTTTGCGCATCCGGGCCGGCCATCTAAAAGTTCTGCCTCGGGCGGGTCACGCTATAAGATACATGGACGGGGTTGATGATGAGAGGATGAGAGGATGAACAGGCGGGGAGAGGAGAAGAGAGGGATGAAAGGTAGTGAGGCAGACGGGAAGAGTTGGGCCCAGCACTGGCACTGGCAGTGGCAGTGGCAGTGGCAGTTCACGATGTTCAAGTCAGGGAAGCCGCGGCCCCAACTGACGTAATACACTACACTCCGTACTTGCCATCTCAGGCACACACCAGTTACAGAGTTACAGAGGTATACTTATTTTAGTTATACAGTTATAGGTATAGCTATTGATACATTATCCTTACTGGGTAGTCAAGTCCATTGCCTGGTTGGCATCTCCTTGCGACTACATTGAACAAACAATGGCTTAGCAATGGATGAATGACTTAGAAATCAACAGGTTACACGGCAAGGAGAACCCGTAAAAGGATGAAAGGAAATAGATGAAACAAGTAATTATAATAATATTCATAATAATAATATTAATTAATTAAAAGAGAAAAAAAGAAGAAAGAAAGAAAAAACCATCCCCATTCATGCCATCACCCGTCACCATCACCATCACCCAAGCTGAATCGATGACTTAGGCAGCAGGGGCTTAGCCGCGACACATGATGAGAAATGACTCTTTCCTTCGACTCATCGCACCCAGAAACCGTTGCCTGCAATCCAGATCCCCAAGGCGCCGGGCAAGGCACGGGACGATGGAGCAATCAGCACACAGCAAGCAGCAAAAGTCAAGCAAAGCCAGGGAAAAATGAGCCATACCCGGGCCCTCATCGACCGAATCTGAAGTTTGAGGTGACCGCTCAACTGAGCACAGCCGGGGTGTTAGTTACCAGCATTACCCGCGTCAGAACGCCAGAACGCCCTTTGGAAGACGGTGAACGGCACGCAGGGTTGTGCAGCCTTGTCTAGCTTGGCTCGTCCAGTGGAGCCCCTAAATTCATTGACTCAATCGACAAAACGAACACTGTACTCCGTACAGAGTACAGTACACACTCTTTCTGCATTGTGGATTGCTCATTCCCCATTGCTTATTGCCCATTGGTGCGGTGAGAGATCGCTGGGCTAACCCACCTAGGCGAAGCGGCCCTCAACCCAGGCACCGAGGCGACAAGCCACCCCTCTAGACCCTCCCCCAGGTAATGGGTAATGGGCAATGGGCAATGGGCAATGAGAATTGTGGATTCTCCATTAGACTGAATACTGTTCGCCCCGTCCTCTTCATGGAGCCCGGGTGAACCCCATCCATTCCCGAAATGGTCTCATAGGCAGAATTATGGAGGCTTTGGCTCGGAAGCCTCTAAACCCAAACGGGCGACACATCTGCCTACCTGAGGGTACTCTTTCTTTTGCATGTTTCGTCCTCAGTCATTCCTTTTCCTTAAATATCAGGTCGTGGTCTCGTGCTTTCAAATTCAATTCTTCAATCAACCTTGTCTCATCACTTCAACACACCACAATCAATATACTTATACTCCGGTGCCAACATCAACACCAACACCAACATCTGCTCAGCGCAACTTGAACCTTACGCCAGCTTCCATCAATCAAGCCTACTTCCCATCGCTTTGATATCAACCACTACACCAACCAACTTTACCAGAACAATCATGGCCTCTCTCTGGTACTGCTGTGGATGCAACTTTGGCCCTCACAACTCAACCCTCTACGGCGCCTGTATCAACTGCGGTGACGAACGCTGCGCCTTCTGCCCCGAGGAGAAGTGCTACGACAGTCTGCGCTTGAACGCCAACACTCACACTCACACCCACTGCCACGAGGCATCACCATACCCGTCTGTTGTCGCCGTCGACACCGCGCAGACCCTGTCTCTCAACACCAAGAGCACGCCCATCCCTCTACCAGACCTGCCCGGCATGCGCCCTCTATCCAGATTGCGCCAGTCAGATGCGCAATCCTTGCCCCTTGGTGGCAGCGCAAAGGTATACAGCCATGGTAGCTTGTATGTCTGCTGCCAGTGCCAGGACGGCCCCAAGCTCTGGGATAACCAGCCGCAATGTGTCATATGCAATCATACTGCCTGCTCTGCCTGCACCTATGTGAAGTGAGACATTCTAGAACAACGACGACATGATGGTGAGATTGAACCTCTGCGACACACAGTTACACAAGTGGCATTGCTAACAGTTGTTCTTTTACAGTGTATCCGACTACTTTGATGTGATTTCTCATTTTTATTACTTTTGTTTCCTTTCATGATTTTCTCTTGTTCTGCAAAGCGATTCGATATCTCCGCATAGCCTGGTGCATCTTTCATTGTTTCCTTGGGACTGTACTACTCTGTTTTTGTTTCTGATGTGTTTGGCATTTGTGATCTTCATTGCTGCGTTCTGCTTAGATTAGACCATCATCTATACTTCGCGGCTACCCGATTGGGTTTAGGGCGAGAGGGGCCGGCCCCCTTGTCTGCCTTGCCTGACTTGCGCTAGTCTTTTTTGAGATTATCTCGGAAATATTACCATACTGTTATTTTCGGTATCATTCATTCCTGTCTCCTTCCCAAGTAGTTCTCCGTGTAGTTTCTTCATGTCATTCCTGGATTAGGGTATAGAGTATTCCGTATTCTCTTTCTCATTCGCTGATATTTTAATCTCATCTCATCTCCTCTCTATCCACCCTCCCTCCCCGGGCACCGTTTGTAGAATCGATGATCTCCAACCGGGGTTCCCAAAGGTTCTTTCACTCCTGCATTGCAGCTCTGGCGTTCTTCAGCCGAGCCGCAGCAAAGCGAGCGTGACTTTGAGCCTCGACGCATCAACCAGGATGATCGCATGGGAATCACCAATGAACAAGTCCGCGGCACCGAAAAGTGGATTCTCTGCCTGAACACCCTAGGCATCGTCTTAGCTGCCTAGGGCACTCGCAAGGCACTAGCTCGCCCGGGGCGTCTGCAACTGCTAAATGCCCGCCCCTCGGTTTCGTACCTGGGCTAGAATTGGGCTTGGGCTATGGCTTGGCTCTCTGCGCTTGCGCCTGCGCCTGCGCCCACAACCCACAACCCACTTGAGCCCCGGTGCAAGGTCAAAGCCTCATGTTCCTGTTCACGACAGATCGACATGGCCATCACCGCCGTTTGGCCTGGCTTTCCGCAGCAATCAGCCCTATCGCCTGCGTAAAGGAGCGGTGCATACATGCATCCATCCCAGCTTGAACCCTTCAGGTCCAGCCCAACCCCAAACCCTAACCACAACCACAACCCCCATTCTGTATCACATCTACTTCTGCCCCCAACCCTCCACCCTGCACCTCACTCCACTACGGTCCAACTGCCCCCTTCGTCATTTTACAAGAGGCTGTGCTAAGAAAATACAATAGTCTAGTCCATTTTACGCCCCAAGCCAGCGCCAGCACCAGCACTAACCACCCCCAGCTAAGATCAAGGCGGTTGCTCGGGAGCCCAGCAGTGTGGTCCGCGGAGACATGGGCCATCCTCATCCCCATCCACAGGGCTAAGAGTTCTGATCTCCACCGCAGCGCCTCTCCGACCCAGTGACGTCGCGCCCAATTCTTGTTTTCATTCGTCCTTTCTTTTCTACGTGCTTGGCTTGTCCCGCTTTAGCTTGATTCTCTCCGGACAATTTTCTCGGGCGCGAGGGTGCGATGCGGGTGCGGGCGTGAACACGAGACTCGACCACTTCGCCTAGTTACTGGTTAACTACTGACTAGTATGGTTACTGATTAGGTACTAGTAGTATACTACTAACTAGTACGTCCTCGTCTTCGATTTCTACTACCTTCTCCGCGGCTTCTCTTCCGATTCTTCCGAGTAGTCCACTACATATCGTACACGAGCGGTTTCTTGGAACAAGAAAAAGGTGAGGCTAAGCTAGTATTCTACTGTAGCCAATGAGTGCGATCGAGTCGATCCGGCTCCGATGCGATCACTGTCATCCTGGGCACATCACATCACATCAGTCTGCCTTGCGGGATTTTGACTCACAGCAAAGCTCCTTCCTTCATTCCTTTTCAGTGGGGAAGATCACCTCAAGTCCCTCAAGGGCAGTCAGTATAGCCCCGTTTCTAGATCCATGGCCATGACCTCGTTCATCTGCATAGCCAAAATCTGGGGGGCGGAAAATACATCTAAAGGACCCGTGACATGGTCTGGGCTTCAAATTCTATCTACTATACCCATTCTAGGAGATAGTAATTAAGCACGGAGTATCTGTATACATATACAGAGTTCTTACAACGGCGTTCTCCGTTACTAGCTCAGGCTATAGTTTGGCATCCTGACGATCCCCTCTCAAACAACCGCTTGGCCCCTCCCCCCCGGGCCCCCCTCCCTGGGAGGGATCATCCGCGCGATTATTTTACTTTACCCTCTCTGTCATCCTAACTACCGATTCTAAGTACAGATCACCACGAACTGGAGACACCTGTCACTTAATCTACCCCTTAGTCCCATCGAACCCGTCCCATCTAAGTTTCAAGTTTCAGCTTTCGATGTTCACTTTCCTTTCCTCTCGCACATCATCATACTCGTAATACGAGGTATGGAGTACTCGTGCGGAGTTCTAATTAAACCACCGGCACATCTTGAGATCGCGAAGATCGTGGACTCCAGCTGTTCTATACTTAGCACCAGTCATGGGCCCCCAGGGGCCAAATTCTAAACTTTATTTCTTTTCTCCCCCTGACGAAATTATCGCGCCGGCCCCCTTTCTTTTTTTTCTATTCTTATTTTTGGGGGCCGTGTTGGAATTACGAGGTCGGATTGATTGAGTTGTGCTGAAGATGGATGTTCCAAGGTTGGTGCTAATTACCAAGCACCCTTCTCTGCTGGGCGGGAGGCCTGTCAGTGTCAGGCGGGATCCCGAGGGCGGCATCACGGGAGAACGTCCAAGTCGAGTTTGATAGGCGAATTCAAGTTGCAGCGAGTGACTCATATTCTAACGTGAAGTATATTAATTAATTAATTCTTTATTTTAAAAAGAGAAATGACAAAATAACAATTTTCAATCTTTCGGTTTTCCCTGCTGCGCTCGAATCTTGTTTTAAAATTGAGTCATAACTTCCAAGGAATGCTTAACCTGCATGTATATATCTGTCCTAAGTGGTCTACCTGCCAGTGGCATCCGAAAAGAGAAAATAAAAAGAAATTAAGTCAAATCACTTGACATAATCGAAATTGGATATCCTATTTAATTCAAAAAAGAAAAATCGAAACGGTTGGTTGGTTGGAATAGTGTTAATTGAATATGTGCAGCGAAGCACCGCCACTCCGCGCATGGTAGTCATACAGCCTCCCCAAGTAAAATATAGAAAAAAGTCGCGGTAAATCCATCATGATCCACGAAGAAGATTCCCAAAAGTGCCGATCGGCGTTGAGCTGAACTGCAAAGTTACGACCAGCAGCTGAAATGACACGGGGACCAAAAACAGCCCAAGTGTCAACGGAACCATATACCTGGTTTGATGATAGAACTTGCCAGATGGCAGGACGAGGCATTGATTTGCCCAGTCGCGGGTGGTCTGTGGTCTGTCGACTCTTTCTCTTTCTCTTTCTTTTTTTCTTTTGGCTCAAATGCAGAAGAACACCGCGCTGGCTAAATGCAATGCACACGAAAGTAGGGGAGGTGGGGGAGGTTAAAAAGCAAGACAAGGGAAACTCCTCGGCGTCGAGAGGACGGCGGAAGGGGTATCGTCAGAGATGGTGGGGATAGTAGTAATAGTACTGGTGGGTGAGGGGATGGATGGATGGATGGATAGTTGGCGCATACTCGCCAGCACTTGGTTGAGAGGTGATACCAGCTCACCTTGTGGACTTCTCGAAAAGTTACAGGTGCAAGACTCGGGATGGGTCTTGGAGAACACGCCTACGGTATGCGGCTATCTCGTTGGCCACAGTGATGAAATCTTTCACCTTGTCACGTCGCATGCCGTTGATGATTTCTTTCAACCCGGTGCGGTACTGTTCTTTTTCTTCTTCGGTTTGGCCCTCGCGGAGAGCTCCCATTTGCACTAGGATTTTGTCATCTGCCGAGGTTAATAGCACTGTGGTCAGCATTCGGACCGGGTAATGAGAGTAGGCGCAGAGGGAATGATGGTGGTGGTGATGGTGGAAAGGGAGAGGTGAAGGAAAGGCAAGGAAACGACGGGAAAAAGAGATTCTAGAGAATCACCAGTTCTCGTTGCAGTAGGGGCATGGCAAAGAAAACCAAAGTAGAGATGGGAACCATATGGGTGTGGTACACGGCTTCAACTCGTCGACGCACCGCTTGGAATTATGTCCCGGAAATGTTGGAATCCACAGGTGTTGTCGTTACACACACCACCAGCCAATTCATATGGGCAGAGCATTTTCATCGAATCAATATCATGGCTGTATGTTAGCGAACGGTAACCGTCCGAAACGTCGTTCAGGAATTCGGGGTGAAAGCGATATGCCTGGAACATCTTGAGAGGACTGATGTAGGGGGTAAATTTCGGGTCCAGTTGCGCAGGTGATACTCCGGTCTGCATATAGGGTCAGTTCTTAAACAATGTCTCACGGGAGAGGTATTCGTACACCAGGTGCCCCAAGAATTTCGGTCATCTGTCGTGGCTCCCAGGCTGGAACGGGAGGCGGTGCACTCATGAATACTTCATTAGGAGGTTGTTCATTCAAAGGAGCGGAATTCGGAGGACCGTCCAGAATGGCGAGTGGGGCGGGGCTTAGGGGAGGACTATATGCTGAACCAGGCGATTCTGCTCCAGTGTCAGGCTCAGGGGGCTCATAATCATCTGATTCCTCTGAGGTTTCCCGTTGAGATTGCTCGGTTTCTTGGGCTGGACTTTGATCGTCAATCATGCTGTCTTCTTCAGCTGCTGACAGCGATTGCCTGGGCAGAGGATGTCCTGAAGCTGCTGAGTTCGAATGATCGATACTAGCCTCGCCAGCAGCTTCGAGGACAGGTTCTGCATCGGCAAGAGGACTTGAGACAGCAGCCTCTTCTTGAATGGATGGTCTTTCTTCGGAACGGTAACTATCATCGGATTCATCCATGGCAGATCCGCCAGAGTTTGATTCAGAAGGCGATGCTGCCTCCTGAACATCCTCCATGTCGTCGATTTGCGCTGTTCCGTTGACTTGAGCCTCGGGAATGTTTGTCACTGCCTCGACATTGGGTAAAACGTGTGTGCTAGGAACGGGGCTGCTTCTGGCATCTGCAGAAACCGTTGCAACCGGCGAAGCTAAAGAGAATGTCAATCAAAATTCAAATGGGTGGTATCGGGGAAATGACCATACCTTCTTTTGTAGCGAGGTGCTGCTCCTTAATCTCAGCTTGTCGGCGAAGCTCATCAAGATCTTCTAATGTCAAGCCATCGATCTCATCACTGAGTCTCTTGAGTTCATCAACAAGTAGAATACGTCCTTCTTTGCCCTTTGTAATTTCCGCTAGCAGGATGTTGGCCTCCTCTTTGCAGGCAGCCAGACGCTGCTCGGATGACTCAATTTCAATATCTAGTTCCGGGAGACCAGACTCAATTTCTTTCATGCGCAGGATCTTAGAACGGATGCTGTCCAACTGTGTGATATCCATGGAGGCAAGAACTCTGATGGAGGATTCACTGAAGGTATCAATGAGATCGGGCCGATCCACAAGAGTAGAAATGTGAGCGCACGTGGTCGATGCCAATTTGGAATCGGAGGCCAGGGTGGCAGGGGCAGAGGGGGTTTCGGTAATATCCGCACTGGCAGCACTAGATTGTCCACTCGAAGAGACAGTTGAATCACCCAAAGGGAGAGGCGATTGGGTGCGGCTGGCAGCAAGCTTCTCTTTTCGCTTTTGTTCAAGTTCTGCGATCCTGCGATGCATAGCCTGGATCTGAAGATCCCTTTCGCGAATACTCTCTTGATCGTGCCCCTGGAGGTAGAGCTAGACATCCTTCCGGCCGAGGAAGTCCTTGAAAGAGCTGGTTTGATGGCATCGAGGGAAGGAGCAGGGGCCAACTCCTGTTCCGGACTGGAGTCCACATCCATATTCGCACCCTCGTCATCACCGTAGAGAGACTCATCTTCGCTGATATCAATGATAAGCTTGCTTTCGGAATCAGAGGGGGGGGGCAGAGTAGCTGAAAGGCTTCTTTGGCAAGTTGGCGGGTTCATCAAAATCAGAAGCCCGAGGCCTCTTCCGCTGCGCTGTCCGGGACACTGGAGTTGAGTCGACAGCAATAACCTGGGATGCCGGAGGAGTAGAAGGCAGACCGTTTTCTGGATCGGAACCCGTCAAAAGGAGGCCTGGAAGTTTGGCGGGATCGGAAGATGGCGGAGGGGGGCGAACAGGAAGAGGGTGCTGCACGGCTTGGGCAGCGCCCTCTGAAAACTCATCAGACTGAGCCGGGTTAGGAGGAGCCTGGCTGAGTTGCTGGTTCTTTTCTTCCCTTTTCACCATGGCTTGTCGCTTAAGCTCCTCAATCCTTTGCCTTGCCAACTCTGTTTTCGCTCTGTTCTTCTCTTTCACGCCAGCTCCGTTCGTCTTTGCCGCCGGGGCTGCTGGCGGGGTCGGGGTAGGAGTGGCTTTAGGAGAGACCTTGGGCTCCGATGCTTTCGCAGCGGCTTTGGCAGCAAGCATCCGGGCAATGACCTCCTTTCTTTCCATGGGCTTAGTAGAACTCGGTGAAGAGGTATTCGTGGCAGGCTTCGGGGATGCTTTTATCGCTGGACTTTTCGACTTGGCTTCCGTGCTGTTCAGAACTACAAGCTCTGTGGGGTTTCCCGCCTTCACTGTAGGTGTAGGCTGTGGAGCGGGATCTTTCGTCTTGGGCACATTGGATGGCCCTGAGGGAAGAGTGATGGACGCGGCTTTCTTCTGAGTTTCGGTGGCTGCAACTTTAATTCCGATGTCTTCGTAAAGTTGCTTCAAGAGTGCTGGGTTAATACCCTCAGCTACTAGCTCATTGTACCGGATGTTGTGAGGCGCAAGGCTAAGTAAAGCTCCCTGTGCCTGAACTCGCAGCTGTGCTGCTGGAATGGATGGCTGTGAGTCCTCTGAAGTCGCTGTCGTCACTTCTCGCTTTTGCATCTCGATCGCACGGTTAACCACGTCGGCATCGGCCGAAACTGACAGAGGGGGGTTGTAGGCTAAAAAAAAGTTCGTGATCGGGTTAGCTAGCGGGCTGGAGAAAGATCGAGATAAATAAACATACGCGAACTGCTTCTGCTAGACGATCGCGATGAAAGTGCTTCACCTTCTTCCAAATCGTCACGTGGCGCAGAAGATGTTTGAACCAGACCGGGACCGTTGGCAGGTCTCGAGGCTTCCGTCACCCTGTAGGCTGGACTCGTTTCTTCGTCGCCTACCTCGCCATCTTCACGATTCGAATTGGTGTAACTAGTGGCTCTCGTCTGAGATTGAGAAATTGGCGCTCGACTCGTGTCTGCTGAATGCGCGTCCCAGGGCCCGGGGGCAGGTTGTGAGGACCCCGGCGGCGCTGGGAATTGTGGATAGCCAAGCGGAGGCATGGGCGTGGGAGGAAATGACTGTGCCGACATTTGTGAGGGATCGAGTGGTTGCATGAAAGGGAAAGGAGGTGGATAAAAAATCCCAGGACCAGTTGGTGCGCCGTTGGGGGGCATGGGGATGGTCGCGTTTGGGTCAAAACCTCCCATATGATATGGGAAGGGTTGGCCGGTGTTGGCGAGAGGTGGTGGGATGGGAGGAGGATACTGGCCCGGTGGGATATTCGGAGGCATCATGCCAGGGTAAGGAGGCGGCCACTGTGCATAGCTGGGGTGACCCCCATATGAAGGGGGTGGTTGACTATTTGACATCGTGAAGCAAGGTTTCAAAAATGCCGACCTGAATCCCAACGGATAGTGTGAATCGACAGATGTCAAAGGAAACTGAGAGGGTATGCGAGGGCGGCTAGATACTCCATGTCATGGCGGTTGGAGTTCGATAAATCGCAAGTATGGTGGATCCTAGAAAACTCGCGGCGGTATTCTACCGTGTCACTCTCTGCCACTGAAAGAAAAGTGTGGTTGTCGCGTGTAGGAAAGTCGACAAAGAAAGCAGAGAAATAGAGGTGCTAAGTGCGATCGAGGTGAGAAAGTGACCGAGAGTCAGGATCGAAAGGTGAAGGTAAAAAGGTGAAAGGTGAAAGATGAGGTGAGGAACTTGGTGTGATAGGATTAAGCGCCGCGAAAATGTTGTAATCCAGTCATGTGACCGTGCATTATGCGTTCCTCGGGCGCCCGCGATCGCCGGTCCGTGCAGGGCCAAATGTAAACAAAACACCTTCTCCGCCTACTCCAACTTCCAACTTCAGCTGCATCGACGTAACTCTACCCACTTCCTGTTTCCCACCCCTCACCTCTTTCCCTTCCCCCTTTCCTCTTTCTCTCGTGTGTCGCATATTCTCCGCCTTGCGACTATTTGCCTTCCTTTGGCTATGCGAAACGAAAACAACTGGGATCTAATGATGTACTAATTGAACCCACCATACGCCATGCTTCCCTCTCAACTGAATAGCTCCCCCAAGCGGGCCAATCCGTTTGGTCGGTCTTCGCCATCTTCAGCACCACACTCACAGCAAAGGCCCAAATCAGCTATCATTACTCCTTCAAATGGATTGGAGTCGGCGAAAGGGCATCTCCGCAACTCTTCTGTCTCACAACTGTCCCCCGCACGGTCTCCAGCTTCAACAACCCGTGAACGATCCAACTCCGGCCGTAACAATGCTTCGTCCGGAACCTTTGCGCCAAGTTTTATCAAGTCTGAGGAAATGCGACGCAGTGCGGACCAAATCCGTGGATTGGAGGGCGACAATGATTTTTCCGGTAACAAGTACGTCTGGCTGAGGGATCCTGAAAAGGCCTTTGTTCGTGGCCTTGTGTTAGAAGAGTTGGAGGGAGGCAAACTTTTGGTCCAAAGTGACGATGGAGAGGTAGGAGCTTTCGGACTCTTCGGTCTATTGACACAGTGCTGACACTTCGGGTAGCAACGCGAAGTTGAAGCCGATCAAGTCGACAAGGTCAACCCGGCCAAGTTCGACAAAGCCGACGATATGGCCGAGCTGACACATTTGAACGAGGCCTCCGTGGTACACAATCTCCACACGAGATATCAGTCGGATTTGATCTATGTTGGTCGCCTTCCTCGAACAAGCGGACTGTGAACTTGCACTGACACTTTTGCCGACAGACATATTCCGGTCTTTTCCTGGTCACCATCAACCCTTACTGTCCCCTCCCAATCTATACGAATGAGTATATCAAGATGTTCAAGGGTCGTGGGAGGGAGGAAACTCGTCCACATATCTTTGCGATGGCGGATGAAGCATTCCGTAACTTGGTTGAGGAGGGTGAAAACCAAAGCATCCTGGTAACGTGAGTTTGGAAATCATTTCTTCTTACTGCAAAGGCTAATCTGTTCAATTCTCAGAGGTGAATCCGGTGCTGGTAAAACCGAGAACACGAAAAAGGTCATCCAATATCTGGCCGCAGTCGCCACATCTGACACTCCCTATGGACGATCTGGAACTAAGAATCTCACAAATCTTTCACAACAAATTCTTCGTGCCAACCCTATCCTCGAGGCATTCGGAAACGCTCAAACAGTCCGCAACAACAACTCTTCCCGATTCGGAAAATTCATTAGGATTGAATTCTCACGGTCTGGTCAGATCTGCGGAGCATGGATCGACTGGTACTTGCTTGAAAAGTCACGAGTTGTCAAACCAAATTCCAACGAGCGTAACTACCACATTTTCTACCAGCTACTCCAGGGAGCAGACAGGAAAACTCGAGAGAAGCTGTTGCTCGATAACCTTCAAGTGGAAGATTTCTCATACACCAGAGATGGAAATGACTCTATCGTGGGCGTTTCTGACAAGGATGAGTGGAACTCTCTGGTCGAAGCATTCCACGTCATGAATTTCTCTGAGGATGACCAGATCTGTATTTTACGCACCATTGCCGCAGTGCTGCACCTTGGCAATGTATCCGTCGCAAAGGCGAGCGCGCGTGCAGAGCAGGCAGCGCTGAATTCGGATGGACATGCGAGCTTGGAGAAGGCCTGCCAGCTTTTGGGCATTCCAACAGAACCCTTTGTCAAGGGTCTCTTTGAACCCCAAAGTCAAAGCTGGTCGAGAATGGGTTGAAAAGGTCCAGACTCCCGAGCAAGTTCGCCTCGCCCTGGATGCGCTGTCTAAGGGTATCTATGAGCGTGGCTTCGGGGATCTTGTCACTAGAATCAACAACCAGCTCGGCCGTTCTATGGCTGATGACAATTATTTTATTGGCGTGCTGGATATTGCTGGTTTTGAAATTTTCGACAACAACAGCTTCGAACAGCTTTGCATTAACTATACCAACGAGAAGCTTCAACAGTTCTTCAACCATCACATGTTTGTGCTGGAGCAGGAAGAATACGCGAGGGAACAGATCGAGTGGCAGTTCATTGATTTCGGCAAAGATTTGCAGCCGACAATCGACTTGATCGAATTGACCAATCCAATTGGTATCTTCTCCTGCTTGGATGAGGATTGTGTGATGCCTAAGGCCACAGACAAGTCTTTCACCGAGAAACTTCACTCGCTCTGGGACCGTAAAACGCCAAAATACCGCTCCGCTCGCCTCAGCCAAGGCTTCGTTCTCACACATTACGCCGCCGAAGTCGAGTACACCACGCATGATTGGCTCGAGAAAAACAAGGATCCTTTGAATGACAACATCACACGTCTCCTGGCGGGCTCCGAACAACCACATGTCGCTAACATTTTCGCCGACTGCGCCGACCCCGAGTCAGGAGGTGACTTCCCTCGCAGCCGAGTCAAGAAGGGCCTGTTCCGAACAGTAGCTCAACGACACAAGGAACAGCTCGCGACTTTGATGAGCCAGCTTCATTCCACCCATCCCCATTTCGTGCGTTGTATCTTGCCAAACCACAAGAAACGACCCAAGATGCTTCACGCACCCTTGGTTCTGGATCAACTTCGCTGCAACGGTGTCTTGGAAGGAATTCGAATTGCGCGAACTGGCTTCCCCAATCGACTACATTTTGCTGAGTTTAGGCAACGATACGGGGTTCTCTGCCAAAATATGCCGAAGGGCTATCTGGAGGGCCAGCGCGCAGCTCAAATGATGCTTGAGAAGTTAGGCATGGACCGGTCTTGGTATCGCGTTGGTCGGACCAAAGTTTTCTTCCGAGCCGGTGTTCTAGCCGACCTGGAAGAGAAGCGAGATGAGATAATTCGGACCATCATGACTCGTTTCCAATCCCTGGCCCGAGGATTCGTCCAGCGCCGCATCTCGAACAAACGCCTATACCGGGCTGAGGCAACCCGTATCATTCAGCAAAACTTCCACTCATATCTTGAACTTAAGGGTAGTCCCTGGTGGCGCATGTTCTCAAGGATGAAGCCTCTCCTTGGTGACACGCGTACTGCGAAAGAAGTTCAAAGAAGAGATGACAAGATCAAATCTTTGGAAGAGAAGATGAAGCGAGATATCTTGGATCGTCAAAAGGTCGACGAGGAGCGCAGACGTACGGAGATGGAGATCCAGAAGATCCAACAAACCTTGGAAAGTGAGCGTGCCCTTGCCCTCGACAAGGAAGAAATATTCAAGCGTCTGCAAGAACGAGAAGGAGAGCTGGCAGAAAAGCTGTCCGAGGCCATTGCCGATCAGGAGAGTCTGGAAGAACAACTTGACGAGTTGGTTGATGCGAAGAGGAAGACTGATGAGCAGCTCCAACTCCGGATCACTCAACTTGAACAAGCCGGGCAGATCATTCAGACACTAGAGGCCGAGAAGAATGACGCACAAGCTCGCTTGGCCGAGCTCGACGAAAAGTTCACTGAAGCCGAAGGTCGATTCTCCGGCAAGGACAACCAGATTCAAGAGCTTGGACAAGAAATCAAGATGCTCCAAAGTCACTTGAGCCTCAAGGACCGAAAGCTCCAAGAGCTTGAGACCAAGCTCCTAAAAACAGATCAAGATCTTGATGTTAAACTTGCCAACACCTCCAAAGAGCTCGAGAAGTCGAAGAAACAAGTTCGTGACCTTCAGGACGACAATCGGTCCGTACGTCAACAAATTTCTGAGCTCTCTGCTACTTCTACCGGCTATGAAGATCTCTTGCGACGGAAAGAGAGCGAAATGGCCGTTCTCCGGAACGATGCGAAGAAACACAGCGAAGAAAAGCAGAGTATCGAAACCGAGAGGAAGTCTCTTTCAACTCGACATGACAACATGCAACAACGTCTCCGTGAAGTGCAAGCGGAGAGGGATGCTATGCGATCGGAGAAGGCTCAGCTTGAGCGTGAAGCGGCCGCTGTCAAGCAACTCCTTGAGGACAAAAGAACCGAAGATGCCGAGGCTGGTGAAAGCCGGAAATTCCTGGAACACCAAGTGCATGACCTCAAGGACCAACTGTTCAAGGTCGAAGCAGACCTCAGCCGAGAGCGCCAATCAAGGGACGATGTCCAAATGCTCTCCGACCACAACCTTTCAGACTTGAAAACTAAGTATGAAGCTCTCAATGAATCCAAGATTACAATCGAGAGGGAGATGTACATTCAGCAAGACACCCTTCGCCGAGCCAACGAGGCCCGGGCTCATGCGGAGACGTCACGAAAGGATCTGCAGAGCGAATTGATCAAACTCCGCGATCGGTTTACGAATGTTGAGAGTGCTCGTTTGAATGCCGAGGCCGAAATCGAACGCAAGATCAAGAACCAGGCCGATGAGCGTATCACCAGTCTGCGTAAGGATCTGACCGAGAAGACGGAACTACTTGAAGATATTGAGGCGGAACGGTCTGAGCTCGCTGTTCGGGTTCAGGAGCTCACCCATGCAATTTCCGAATCTGATAATTTCCGTATTCGCCATGATCAGCACAAGGAACGTCTGGAGCGAGAGCTGGTAACCCTACGAGGCCGATTGACCGCTTCAGAGAACGACAACCGATCTCTGCTTACGAAGATTCAACAAAAGAACCTCGACATTGCTCGTTCAACTTCCAAAGCGAGTGACAATAATAGACTCCGGTTGACCAATCTTCAGAAGGAGAAGAACAAACTCGACGAAGAAAACAAGAGGCTGGAGCGTCAGCTTGGAGAGTCTCAGCTTGCTATCACATCCCTTGAAAAACAAAAGGAGAAACTGGCTTTGAACCTGGAGGACATAAACCATGAGATTCAGAGGGAACACAAGACTAGCCGCAACGCAGAGAAAGCCGCTTCAACTGCCAATATTCAGCTTGCGGAAGCAAATCGAAACCTTGAAAACGAGCGCCAACTTCGGAACCAGGCTCAATCAAACACCCGCCAAGTCCAGGGAACACTTGATAGAAGCAACAAGGAGATCGAGGAGTTGCACCGAAAGCTCATCCTTCTCCACCGCGTGTTTGAGCCCGAAGCGACGGAAGTTAGTCAGTCATGGGAAGCCGTCCAGCCACAGTTGTCGAAACAGATTGACCTCGCGCAAGTTATCGACACTGTGCAGCACAAACTAAAGGTCTCTGAGGAGAAGCATGCCAGAGCTGAAAGCCAGCTTGCCGAGATGCGCCGCCGCCATGCCGATGAGATGAAGGACTTGGATACCAAGTATTCCTCCTCCAAGCGTGCATTGCTCGAAGAAATCGATCAGAATGAAGTGGCCAACAACCGTACGCCTCAGCATTTCCGGAAGAACTCCGAAAACGCGCTTAAGCGATTCTCCAACCCTTCGACGCCCAACAGACTCCAAAACGTCTACGAAACGGCGAATGACTCTGCTCGCTCTGACAGGACCGTGGATACCGTCGGGTACCAGAGGCGTATGGACACAGCAGCTGAGATTGAAGAGCTGCAGAACAAGCTTCAGATGACCGAGATGCAGAACCGCCACCTGCAAAGCCAGATTGAACACTCAACTCCCGGTAGAGATATTTGGCAGGATGACAGCCCCTCTGTTCGTCGCATGAACCTCCTTGAGCGCGAGAACGGTCGTCTCCATGATCAGCTTGATGACTCTGCCAAGAAGGTCTCATCTTTGGAACGCAGTATTCGTTCCGGTGAATTATCGCTGCGCGATGTTCAGGCCAAATCACACGAGGAGCTGTATGACTTGATTAACTCACAGGAGCAGTCCCGGCGCTCGCTTCTTAAGGTCCACAATGAGACTATGGCTGACTTCGGTGAGGCCAAGTCTCATTTTGAGAAGCTCAAGCGCAGCCGTGCTTCTCTGGAAGTTGAGCTTCGTGACGCCCGCTCCGAAACCCAGGAGATGCAAGAAATCCACGACCAGGACGCCCTCAGCCGCAATCAACTCCTCTCAGAATTCTCTGATCTTCAGATTCGTCTCGATTCAGAATCCTCGAGAGCCGCCGACCTGGAGTCTAGCCTCAGTCTATATAAGACTCGTGCTGATGAGTACTTCAACAGGATTGAACAAGCTGAGATCACTGTTCTAAAGGCTACTCGGGCCGAGAACTTCGCCAAATCCCGTTGCCAGGAAGCTGAAGAGACCTGTGCCCAGATTATGTCCGAGCGAAAGGAAATGGACGGTCTTGTGGAGGACTTGCAACGTGAAACTGCCTCTCTGGAGGCTCGCATGGAAGATCAAGCTGCCGAACTCCAGGCTGCCTTGCAATCGAAGCAGCGTCTTCAGAACGAGCTAGAGGACTACCGTAACCAGCGGGCCATCGACATCGAAGACAAGGAGACTTCGATGGAGCAGACCAGACAAAAGTACCAGAGAGAGTTCTCCACCATCAACAGTGAGCTTGAGGCGGAACGGGAGCGTGTGCTGCACTCCCGGGGTGAGAACACCCGTCTGCGCGAGGAGCTTGAAGATCTCCGAAGCAAGTGGGATAACGAAGTTCTCAACAGCTCCACTTGGGCCAAGGAGAAGGCCCGCCTGGACATGGTCATGCAAGACATCAGCAACTCGCGCGATGAAGCGTCTAAGGCACACAACGAGGCTCAAACCAAAGTGGTCTCCCTTCTTTCTCAAGTCCGGGCTCTGCGCACCTCTGTCGATGATGTCACTGCCGAACGTGAACTTCTTCTGAAGGACAAGAAGATGCTGGAAGGTCGTTTGGCCGAGGCTGGCGAGCGCCTAGAAGATCTTGCCAAGGGTGAAAGTCCGTCTATGCGCAATGCGGCTAGCATGGATCGTGAGCTTCTTGAGCTCAAGTCTAAGCTTGCTCAGCAGGAGGATGTCTCTTCCGCGGCTGTTGGCAAGATGCGCCGGGCTGATGCTCTGAACACTGAAATGCAGAAAGAGCTCACTGCTGAACGCGAGGCCCATGCCCAACTATTCAAGGATAAGACCGGGCTTGAGAAGCAGCTCAAGGAGGTCCAACTGCGATGCGTGGATCTTGAAACCAAGGGCTATTCGTCCGGTAGTCAAGATGTGCGATTCCTGCACAAGCGCATCAAGGAAGTAAGTTGTATTCTCTCTGACACCCAGATTACGTGTGCTAATATGACTTCCCCCTGTAGCTTGAAACCCACCTCGAGGACCAAGAGAACAAGAACAGTGCTGAACAGCGCTCTCTTCGGAACGTTGATCGCACTGTGAAGGACCTCCAATCTCAAATCGATCGACGCGAGAAGATCAATGTCCAGCTTACCGAAGATATGAACAAGGCCCAGGATAAGATTTCCCGCCTTCTTCAGAACATCGATGAGCTCAACCAAGGCGATACCGATACTCAAATGCGTGTTCGTCGCGCTGAGCGCGAATTGCGCGAGGAGAAGGAGAAGGTGCTCCGCTTGGAGCGAGAGCTTGGCAAAATCCGCGGTAGCGTCATTGGTCGGCCCCCAATGCCTGCGTTTAGCGATACTGGTAGCCGGAAGGGAAGTGCTGCTTATGGATCTAATGACGCCCTTCAGCGGAAGCCCAGCAACACCAAAGGATTTCTGTGAATAGGATGGAGGTAATTGTACTACGAAGGGTTGGATTTGGAGTCGCTGTTTGGGTGTGATTGTTTTGCTTTTTTGTTCTGCTTTGGGTTGGCGTACATGTGCATTCGGAGGGGGACGACTTGGTTTTTTATTATTACTGATAGGTCCTGTTCATATTGTCTGAATGACCTTATGTCTTTTTGCCGCATTGGGGTTGTATGTATCTGGTAGGGCTGTTTGATTCTTTTTTTCTGTGCGTTGAGGTTCGGAGTAAATACGCTCGATGCCCAGGTGGGTGTTATGATTTAGCTATCTACAATACAAGAAGAATTCCAGATTGATGAATAATCCCTAGTGGGTGGTCCCATACGCAGTGGTGGCGCCAGCGCTCATTTCCTCCACATGCTAATGGATAGCTTATGGTCGAATGAATCTTGATAATCAATCGTGAGATCCATTCATCAACATAGCAACCTTGGAACAACCCCACTGTATAGAGATAATAGCAGTAGGTACCCTAGGGTAAATATCACATAATAGCCACAATTAATGCACGTATCGGAACGAAACAACTCCATCCGCTCTCGCCGTCCCAGTAATAGCCGAACTACTAGCAAGCACACCATCTTCCATCTCAGCCCTCTCAATCTCCGCATTTTGCTTCTTCAAATGCCACTTAATTCCCAATGCCATCAACGCACACACCAGACAAGCACCGCTCATAACACCGCCACCGGCGTAGTATCTCGGTTTCTGCGAATCGGGAAACATATACGAGGTGTAGAAATGCGCCACGCCAGCACCCATTAAATTAACGATAGCCAATGCACTTGCGCGCTTTGCTTTGGGACGCGGGAGTGTTGAGCTTAGCCAGGAGACGCATAGGTTATAAGGTGAATAGGATCCCGCTGTCATGAGGAACATGCTAAAATAACGACCGCCTGTTGATGGGACGAACATCGCCTGTGAAAATGACATTAGTCAGAATTGACCAGCTATCTTGACAAATAGCTTGAGTGTGGATTAGGTCTTACTAGTAGATTCCCCAAAAACGCGAAAAGCAAGGGGATTGCGATGTGCAGACCTCGCTCTTGTTTGTGAGCTGCATGGAAGGAGATGATCAGGGAGCAGATGAATGCGAATGCATACGGTGGTGCGGTTAGTAAGAGGGTAATGGTATCGTTATATCCCAATGTGCCGACGATTGAAGGGAAGAAATTGTTGAATGATTGGGCTGTTAGAAGAGCCATTTGGAGGACAATGAACATGTATAGTTTCGGGTCAACGAGAGCTTGTTTGACGCCCCAGAGTAGGGAACCAGGGTCGTCGTCGATGAGTCCGGCATTTTCATTGCGGAGACGCCAGTCCTAGCATCAATCGTTGTTAGTCTGTGTGCTCGTTTCGTGATGAATTATTTTTAGGTAGAGCAATACTTACAGCCAGCAATTGATACTCGCAGTCCATCCACCAGCGCTTGGTGGTGCCGGGGTAATCCGGAATGAAAGCAATAACAAGTAATGCGATTGCAATAGTCATCGAGCCCTCAATAATGAAAAGCCATTCCTAAACCAGAGAAAACCTGCGGTTAGTACTGTGATTGGAAGTAATTGCTATTTCGATATTGTAGTAACGACTTACCCATGCCGGTCGACCCATTTTCCCCTCCATGCGAGCAACAATTCCCGCAGCTATTAGCCCACCAAATGCACTAGCCAGCATATTTGCTCCATATAGGAGGGCGATGCGCGGGGGTAGTTCAGACCGCTTGTACCAGCAGGACATGAGGAAGAAAACTCCCGGTAAGAAAGGTCCTTCTACCAATCCGAGGACAAAACGAGACACGAATAGGCCTGCGAAGTTGCGGGTGAAGGCCTGGCACATGGATACTATTCCCCAGGCTGCGGTGACGGTGCCGATATAGATTGAGGGCTTGACCTTGGTGATGATCAGATTCGAAGGAAGTTGAGTGAGAATGTCTGCGAATGTTGCTTAGTAGCGGTCCCAGCTGAGGGAGTGGGATATTTGGACACTGTCTTACATCCAACGTAGAATATCATGAGGCAGGTATTGTATTGAGTATTAGAGATACCGAGTGTATCGGGTAGTCCGGCAATTTTTGCATTCGCAATATTGTTTCTAAAGTAATTTCAAGGTTAGTTGGTTAGATCTGACCAGGGCTGGAGGGACCAATCTGGGAGGGAAGAACATACCGATCGAGAATATTCATCAGGAAAAGAATAACCACAGAGGGAAGTAAACAGGTATCTAATCGACGAACTAGCCCCTTCTCAAGCTGATCAATCTCATCGCTCCCCAAAGACGCCAATTCCACTGGAAGAGGCAGTTGCTGCAGCGGACCCGGCTTGACGTATTCAACAGCCTCCGTACCGGGTTTTGACTGCGCGATATCGTCCATTTTGAGGATCGGTACTTGGAGTTCCAAGGTTTACCTGCGTAATATGGTATTTGCATCAAAAAGCTTTCCAAGCTCCACACGATGACCAGCGCGGGGGGCGGGTCATTTTTTATATCTTCTATCAACGGAGACGGCAAAGTGGCAGTCAATGAGACAGATATTGACGGGTTGGTTCCCGTAATCCGGGGTAAACGCGGGGAGGAGGGCGTGGGGTCACCAATAGGAGGGAACTTATTCTCAATCTGATAGGGGCTGGGGTGATCGAAGTATAGACGCCGGTGAGAAAGCCGCAGTCGAGGCCTGGATGAAGCAAGGCACCTAGGCAGCCCCACACATCATGGCCTCAATTCAAGGAAATTGTATTTCTATTTGACTTTCTAGGATTTGATTCCAAGTTGTTAGATTTGGCCTGTATCTGTTAAATTTAGGTGGGTGTGAATGGTGGGGTTGGAAATATCTCTATGACTGTGCCCTAATGAAAGGTGTCACTGGATGATTTATTAGAGGAGCATATCATCCTTGACTGGGTACAGCTACAGATTCAATCCGGACACCTGCAGCAGTAAGCGAATCTAAGATCCATCGAGTCGCTGTCCGTGATTCCAAGTCTGCAAATCTCGACCAGGGAGTGCCCAGGTGAGTTGTCAACCAATACACGATTGTCTACTAACCACCGCGAACAACTTAAAGATGATTGATTGTGCAATCATTCCAAGATTCCAAGGTTACAATTTGACACGCCAAGTTTATAGCACAAGAGAGAAGTAATATTGATTTCACCAAGAGGAAATTCTTACTGAATAGCCGATGTATAGAGAGAGCCTGATTTTCCAAAACACCAACCCAAGCCAAACAAGAGTGAAGAAAGGAACCCAGCATGAAGCAAAAAAAAAGAAATTCCGCAAGATTTCAAAAACAAGACCGGAATTCAGAAATGAAATATGACTCATGAGAAGGAAAAGGAGAAGAGATCTCGAGATCCGAGAAGGTGGGAGCAACGCAATTAGCCATGACCACTCTCGGTCTCCAATAATGATGAAGACGCCAATTTGATATGAAAGAGATGATACATGGCGAGAGCCACGAAAAGAAAGATAACCAAGAAAAAGCTGAAAAGGTGAAAATAAAACGACCAACAGACGCCTGCAGAAAAGGGTCTAATGTACAACGGGCGACATGGAGGAACGATGAAACAAAGGGGTATCGTGATAAGAAGCAGCAGATGATCGGTCTAGTTTGGAATACACGCATAACCATGCAATACCACACACACACACACGCGCGCGCGTGGTGTGGTGACACGGCAGATACTACCGTTCCCCAAACTTCCCGTATTCCTGCTGCCACTTGAGGAGGTGACGGGTCAGCACGTCCATCATTTCCACACTGCTGAGGTCTTTGAAGTCTTTTTCATGGATTGGGGCATCTCCGTCACCGTCTGTCGTAGGTGGGGCAGACTCGCCGCCGTCACTGATTGTAGATGCCATGGCGGCATCAATCTGCTCGACCATGCTCTTTAAAAGCAGGCCTTGAGAACGATCCTCGTTTCCCGTTGGGGTAGAGGAGTTCTCGCTGGCAACAGCCATCTCCACTTGCATACGAGAGATAAACTCAAGAATGGCTGCCACACGTCTCTTCATTTCAATCATCGTCGTGCGCTGCGGGTGCATACTCCGAGGCTTGCTGGGTCGCCCGGTATCTCCCCCATTGACATGCGCACCGTTTATGTTGCCGTATCCCACTCTGGGAGAATCTCCGCCGATTTCACGAGATTGCCCGCGACGTGGTGACTCGGTGCCATTGCCATTAACATCTCGATCTTTGGTGTATTGATTGCGTCCAACTCGGCCGCGGCGTGCAGGCGGACGACCTGACTTGCGTGTTGATGGGCGAGCTGGTGTGGGTTCTTGAGTAGGAGTATTCGGGCTTGCTTGCGCTGGTTCAGGCTCGCTCGGCACAGTTTTTACGGGAGATCCAATCTCAGGTTCGGATTCTAGAATCGGAAATGTAAGCAAATACTCCGAAGTTATCGAGGGAAAAAGTCTCTCGGCACTCACCATCTCCTTTGCGTCGGTCTACTACCTTCTCCTTATGACCATTGACAGCTTCAGGAGCTTCCACCTCAGGCTCCTCTGGTTCTTTGGGAGGCACCTTATCACGCTGGCCCCGAGATGCGGCCCTTTGCCTCCGGGTGCCGTTCATTGCCGGCTTCGCTTTGGACTCATCATCAGATGGAGGTTGAGACACAGGGTTGTTTTCCTTCGAGATAGGAGCAGCAGGAGACGGAGAGCCGGTTCGCGGGCGTTTGGTGCCTTCTCTATGTCTGGAAGTGGGATGTCAGCTACCGAGCCACAAGTCTCAATATGGGGGAAAAGAAAGATTACGCACGCTTCGCTCTCACTACGACTCCTCTTTCCCCGTCGGCTGGATGTGTCGTCGGGAAGGCTTTTGGTATCTTCTTTGCTTTCTTCGATCGCTCGTCGGATTAGCTCTTCTTCATCGTAAGCGGCATCACGGCTGTTCATGGTCGACCGTCGCTTGACATTTTCGCTTTCACTCAGGCGAGATTTCGGGTCTCTGGAACGTCGGGATGAGCTCTCGTGGGAAGAGGCTCGGGAGGGTCGAGAGGAGGGCACGGATGGCGCGGGTGATGATTTCGGATTGACGGGGAGGTAGGTGGACGAGCGCTGGCTGCGAGATTATTAGCATGCTGTCTCTTGAAGAGGAGAATTGGCAGGAGTATTGCAAGGAGAACACGTTCAATGTCCTCCGATCGGCATTCAATCCCAAGTTGCGCTTGAGCAACGAGAATTTGCAGCTTCGACTGTTCGCACCGGCCTGAGCCAGCACGAGCAGTCGCAACGCAACGAAACTGAATGGGGGAGGGAGGGACGAAGAAAAAGAAATAGAAAGAAAGAAAGAAAGAAAGATGGGAGGACTGGTTTGCAAACATACCCATTCGGTTCGCCGCGAATAGTGTGCAAGTCCTTTCGACACTCTTCACAGAAATATTCGTCAGGGCTTGTTTCCTCATCCATAATTCCCACACAGCCACCGTGCTGCCAGACTTTGCACGAGTCGCATTGGATGAACATGCTACCGATTTCATCGGAAAGCAAGTCAGATGAATCAGGAGGAGGATGTTCGCCCTCCGGCTTGACTGCACTGCGACCGAGCAGGAGAGCTTCGCGACGAGAGGGGGGGGCAGGCCGGGGTAGTCCTGCTGGGCACACAAACACCGAGTTATTTCCTCCTCTTCATCCTCATCCATTTCGTCATCTTCCAGGGGACGAGGGGGATCTTCTTCTTCCTCATCGTCATCGCGGGCACGCTGGCGCTGGCGCGTGTGTGGGAGGTCGACCCTCGAGCCGTTTTCGGTATCGTCGATGGACTGGGAGCGAGCACCGGTGGAATCTCGAGGAGAAGGATTTTTGTGATTCGAGCGAGTGTTCCTCTCGCGTGTGGTCGAGTTGGAGGAGCTGGCAGAGGAGTTCGTGTTGGTGTGTTGGAGGAGGGCAGGAGAAGGCTGGGTGGTGCGGGCTCTCGAAGAGCGACGGGGCGTCATGGTGGCGGGATTAGGAGGGTTGAGAAATGCGAGGAAATAGGAGATACGGAATTATAAGGATTCAGAGAGCAAGGTAGGAGATTCAACAGATCCTTTGTCGGTAGGCGTTGTGGGTGTTGGGGGAGCACCGCCTCGAGCCAGAGTGGTTGCGAGGGAGCTTCGTGCGATTGGGGAGCTTCTTGTGGAAGAAGGAGAGCAGGACAATTGAGGATCGCAGTATAAACCGAAGCAGGACGTCACAGGGCTCGAGTAAGAGCCCGATGACTACATAGTCCGAGGAAAGAAAGAAGAGATTGGCGGGGGTGAAGCAGAGAAGAAGAGAAGGTGAAAAGCGCCGGAACGGGACTCCAAAAGATCCTCGCCCGTCCTTCCCCGCTCTGCTTGACGCGACTGACCTTTCCACTTCCACTTCCACTTCCACTTCCACTTCCACTTCCACTTCCACTTCCACTTCCACTTCCACTTCCACTTCCACTTCCACTTCCACTTCCACTTCCCCTCTTATGACTTGTGGCTTGTCCACTTCCACTTCCCCCCCTCCTTTTAATCTGAGTCCTCATCATTGAATGATCCCATTGTGTTGAATACACCCTCTCGATTACATCTCCCAGCACAAAGCCAATGCTGACTTTGCCCCCCTCGGCAGAAATCCGTTCCTCTCGCCAGGGCTGCACCAGGGCTGCGGCTGACCTGCACCTCCTTCTCTCTCCTTCGCAATCACCGGCAAGGTCACTATCTCCTTCCATACCTATGATGACTTGATCCTCAGTATGAGATCCCACCTTGCAACCCATTTCTGTCTGTCCGACACGTGAGATTCGACCGTGTGGTGCAAGGACTGCGAGACGAGTGGCAGAGTGGGGAATCCGGTTCAATGCTTGATCGGCAGGGAATTGACGCGAATTGGCACAAATTCTAGTCTCTGCGCCATGACATAGCTACTATCTACTAGGTGGCTATAGTCAAATGGCGCTCATATTGGTCCCAAGCTATACGCCTCTCCCCAGTGTCTCTTTGGTGGGTTCCTTGGAATCTGCGCCGCTCGCGCCCAATCTCTCTCCCTTGTCCTCCTGAAGCCCTCTTCCCAGCTTTGTTGAATTGTGCTAGAATCCATACCAACAACATCTTGCAACCGGAGGGTGGTGTAACCGTCACAGCGTTGAGCTGCCACGATTGGGGTACCGGGGTCGAGCTTCTCGTGCGGAATCCAATCCGTACCAACGCAAGGCACCGGGGCTGTTACTCGCTGCCTGGAATGCAGGTACGGTAAGGTAAGGTCGCTTCGTTTGCTTCAGAGCGTAGCCTGATCGATTGGGAGGAAACGAGGCTGTAGTCATCTTTGTTTAGGGCATCCAACTCCCCTCGTTAAGTTACTCGGTAGTGTACAACCTACTGCCGAGTAACTACATATTAGTTAAGTACCGGTCGGTACATGGTATCTATCTAACCGTAGTCACCCATCAATTCCATCCCATTGCCATGCCTGACTCTAGGTACGAGTACTCCATACTGATACATTACCAAATTGTTTTCCGATGAACTCGCGTACTTTCGTTTCTTCAGCCATGCACATACAAATCGGGATATGAGATGACCCTGTTAACATCGAAGCTACGAAGGTAACTCACAATACCATGCACCACTACCACTACCACTACCATTGGCACAGACACAGCCTGCTGTACTGCTGCGTAATAAGTACCCCGGAGTAGCTCGTTGGGTGCCCAGAATTCCCTAAAAGGGTTTAGTCCGGCTTGAAAGCCGAAATCCCGTGACCCTCTCTAGTCTTTCCTTGCCAACCCCTCCGCCGTGCGATTTCACGAGATCCTTCGGGGCTTTTCTTACGAGAGCCAACTGCATTCTGGTTCTGCGTTCAGTCCAGATCCTCTCACTTCCACTTTCTGTCACCTCCATCCCTTGTTGGTGCTGGTGCTGAAGATTGGCACTCGTTGTGGGTATGTTCATATTCCCACTCCCCCGTGATTGTGGAACACCCGAGCCACCTCGAATATTAAGGGAATGACAAGTTGGCTGTTTGGTGATCCCCCATTTGGCCCCTCTTGCCCTTCACCAATATCTCCCTATGTCTCCAATCCATGAGGACTAATCCCCAGTCCCGACCACAGTGCCCGCCGTTCCCGCGTTCCTCCCCCCACAGCCATATATTATATATCATTATTCATCTCGCTGGATTTCCCCCTCAACAACCATTACTCGGAGGAGGGGGAAATAGGAATAGGCGAGAACAAGCCTGGCACATCCCATTCCACACATCGTGACGGTTGTGGTTTGGTTGTGGGCGAGTGTTCAGAACTTGCATGATGACTGCCACCCTGAGTATGTCAACTCGTCTTATATCCATGGGACCTCATTGTCCAGTCACCTCGTTGGCTATACAAGGCTCTCCATATCACTCTCTACGGACTAAATAGTGTATTGGTTACTCGGTTACTGACGTCGTGTGTGCTTCTACAGACGGGACGTTCAACTCGGCCCCTGACACACCCTCTGCCGTCTACCCCGATCGTCTGATTCGGCCACTTCCCCGAAAGACCCTTCGCTCCCGTTTGTCCATCGACGCCGCCGACACAATTCTGTACCCACCAACACCACCGGCCTCTCAAATCTTCTACGGCGTCCCCGGAGACTCGGAAGAGGCGGTCAACGACGCCAAAGTCTACGTACAGCAGACTATCGAGTCAGACCGGCATGAACTAACCCCCGAGACCGACACGCACCACGGATTCGAAACGACAGCTGAATTTGAAAGTGGGGACGAGGATGGGCCGGTAGTTGTTCGACGCAGCGCTGCATTTCGAGGTTCAATGTCACCGGGTTCGAGTACACACCCCAGGGGTATTCCGGGAAAGACGAAGTCCCCAAATCTTCAACGGGTCCGGATGGTTATGACGCTTTTGAGAACACAAATAATAAGAAGAAACGAAAAATTCCCACGCCGGGGAATATGGGGGGCCACCACTCGGCACTGTCCCCGGAGTTTGCGAGTATGGGGTTGGCCAACTCCAGCCCTGCCCCGGCTGCGGCGAGTGATGGCATGGCAACTAGCACATACTATGGGAATGGGAATCCTGCTTCGCCCCTGGCAAGTGGGATCTCAGGCTCTGGTCGAGGCAGGTTAGGACGTAGTTCCACGCGGAGCAACTCCGGTCGAAACCCATTGTCCGCTAATGCCCAGAATGCCTGGATGACCCCTCGTACTCCGAGTCGTCGGGATGGGTTGATGTCGTCTCCTGGACCCTCTGGTATGCTTACCTGCTCATGAATGAGTCTTGGGTCTATGCGACCAAATTGCGGGGTAATGCTGACTTGCTTCACAAGGTGATTCGGACCAAGGAATCATTTCCACTGCCATTGCGAACGCAGCCACCCTTTCCTCTCCGCCCCAGGGTTCAAGTAACGTGAGCCTGCTGGACCAGGAGAATACTACCCCGACCAAGACCCAATTCACCTTCACATGCGAGTCCGACTCTTCCAAAGGCATGGCCATGCAGCGAAGTCCGTTTCCTCTGCCCCACCGCTCGTCCACTTCGCCCCTTGCTGCAACCACGCAGAACCCCCGAGGATTCTCTACACAAGGCACGCAGACAAGCCCGAGCATGGCCGCACCCCCGGGCACGCAGCCGGCGCCGGGCGAACAAGCACCCGTGGGCCTTAAGAAGAAGCGGTCACCCGGTAGTATATACTCGCTGGCAGCGCGTCAGCGCAAAATCCAGCAACAGTATACCAACATCCACCACCCGCCTCGGTTGGAAGATATCTGGATCTGCGAATTTTGTGAATATGAAAGCATTTTCGGACATCCTCCCGAGGCATTGATTCGACAGTACGAGATCAAAGACCGCAAAGAGCGAAAGCGGCTTGCGGAGAAGAAGCGGTTATTGGAAAAGGCCAAGATGAAGGGCCGAAAGACGAAGAAGGCGACAAAGAACTCGAAAAATGCTCCAGGTCACCAGAACTATCAGCAGGGCTATGACCGTGCCTCGGTCGACCACTCCTCAGCTACTGGATCTGGTCATCCGGATGATGATTATCTTGGACACGAGTATGATGATGATGAACCCAGCCCGATCCCCTCGCATGACCCCGTGTCTCCGGCAGACCTTAAACCACCTCTCCCGCCGTCTGGAAATTATCCTAAACTGGCTGCGACGGCGGGGGATGATGGGGGCGCTGCAGACGCTGGGGCGAGTCGACCAGCTTGACACTGTAATAGGTCAGACCTGGTAGATTCTTCCTTTGGGGCGTAGTTTCATGTTGATTTTTTTTGGGGAATTTGGATTTGGCGTTTTGGATCGACGTTACGAGTTTTGCATCACGAAAATCCCCTCTCCAGCATCTTGGGTTGGCGCGATCATTTGGTTCATTTGGTTCATTTGGCGGGGTTCATTTTGAGGATCTGTAATTGTAATGACAGAATGGCCAGTAGGGCAATGTGCATACCATTTGAAGGAGTCGTCAATTGTTCAGTATAATAAGTTTCTTTGAAAGGGATCGACGTAGTTCGAGTCTGAGTTCTTTGTTCGCATATCCCACTCATTTCCCCATCTGCCATTGCCAGTGATTTCCTTGCCCAACTTTGAACTTCACTTGGTCACCACCTATTCTTAGCTTCCAGGAAAACCCAAATCCAGCTCTCGCCAATCAAAATCCCGTTCTGTTGATATACTTAGACATGAACCATTGATTGGTTCTCGAGTGTCTACACGCCCGCGATGAAACGACCCTTCAGCATTGATTTTAGCGCGCGCCCAACCCTACTGCAGTCCCGCGCGAAGTCCCTCAGTTAGCGCCAGCCCTATGCCGACAATAGTGATGTCCGTTTGAACCCTGGGCTGATTGTTTCAGCTTTCACTCTTGCCTTGCGAACCTATGGAGGAGCAGGCTGCCCCGTGTACCGACAGGGTGGAGACCTTTGTTCGCCAACCGCCGAGCCATACCACCCGACCCGTGAAGACAGTTTCATCGTGAACTAGGCTAGGCGCGTTGAAGAAAATAGAAACATGGTCTTTCTTTTTCAGTGTTTGGTGGCAGTGGCTGTTTGCAGTTGTTGCAGCTATCGCCAAGGGGCAGGGGTGTATCAAAGGTCCCATGAGCTCCGACTTGATGCTATAAAGACTTGATCAAACCCACTGGTTGGTGAAACAGCTACGACTACGACTTTTTTTTCTGTTTTATTTTTGACTGCAGCATTTCCTTGCTCTCTTTCTCTTATCCTTTTCATCTCGGTCTTTCTTTGACTCCGGCTGTCTATGATTCATCCTGGTTGATGGGTTCTGCCTAAACTTATTGTTGCTTCAAGTTCTTATTGTATACTTCATCCAGGCCGTCGCCATTCACTGGTCTTCATCGCATACTATATACCTGACGACAATACCTTGCGCTGCGCGCATTCTCTTTACATCGCCTCAATCTCAATCTTTCAATCTTTCCCTCTCTTCAAGTCTTCTTTTTGCCAAACCAAACCTATCGGTTGACTGCTTCGATCTCCATCACTCCGAGTCTTTCATCAAGTCCAACAAACCATAACCACAACTTGAACCACCAACATGGCCTTCCTCCTCGTCAAAGTCCTCGAACTCGGCTACAACCGCCACAAGAAAAACAAAGCCTCCAAAAAGGCCCAAAAAGAAGCCGAACTCTACGGCCAACAACCCCCCCTACCCAAACGCCCAATACCCGCAAGAACCATACCCAATGTCCTCATATCCTCCCGGCGTCACACCCGGCACCGACATGCGCTATCCACCACAAAACGGCACCCCCCAAAGCAAACGTGCCAAATTTGCCGAAATGCTCATCTCTGCCATGCGCTTCTTCCAATTCGTCTTCGGTCTCACCGTCATCGGGTTATACGGCAAAGACGTCCACCACGACCACGCAGATAAGAACGAGTGGAACTCGAAATGGGTCTATGCTGTTATCACCGCGTTCCTGGCTACCTGTACCGCGATTGTGCATATGGTTATTCCGTTCTTGATGCGTCGCACGTCTCGTGGGGCATCGGGTGGTATGACTAGTCGTCCTGCGCTCCTGTTGCCGCAGTTTGTGTGGGAGTTTGTCCTTTGTATTCTGTGGTTGACGCTTTTCGGGATCTTCGGAAAGTTGTATATCGGTGTTCATGCGGATGGGGATTCGAAGAAGCAAGAGTCAACTTTGGGTGATGCGTCGAAGATTAATCGGATGAGACATGCTTGTTGGATTGATTTGATCAATTTGCTTATGTGGGTGGCTACTTCTTCTTGGATTCTGCTTAAGTGGTTGAAGGCCAGGAGGGACGGTGGTGCTGCTACTGTTGTTGATGCTGAGAAGGGGGAGGAGGGAGCTTCTTTCTAGAGGTGTTTTGCTTAGCCCTGGATGGTTTGGGTTTGCGGGTTGATCCTGCTGCCAAGGGTGATCTGTGGTTTCTCGTTTCTTCTCTCTTTCTCTTTCTCTTTCCAACGCTCTTCCTGCGGGCGGAGGGGGGCTCTCCTGTTTATCTTCTTTCCTGCCTCCGCTTTCTACCCTCACAAGATGTAAAAGGAAAGGGGAGGCTGCTCTAACATTGCATTGTTTCATTTGTGAGATGGCGTGCCTCGGTCTATGTGTTTCTGCTAATTCTCGGGGGAGTTATTCCTGTTTTCACTATGTTTCTTACCTATCAGGAGCATCAATATCATATTATCTTGATTTCATAGAGATATATACACCCCTGTAACAGTACTATACAGTGCCTTGGTAGAAATGATAATTTGGAAGCCACTTCTTTTTCAAGTTCCTGGTGCTTCTCCGAGTCGGTCCTTGAAAGAATTTCAAATCCTACCTACTGAGGAATACATCATTGATACCTAGGTAGATATACCCTCCCCGAAACACTCAACTTCTTGGCAATTGCATATAGCCGCCTCAATTGTGAACGAACTTGAAGGAAGCCGTCCTAAAATTTGGTAAAATGCCGAGTAATCTAGACAAGAAGTCTTAAATACCTTCTGAAGCAGATTCGTGATGTATCATATCTACAAAAGGACCTTCACGTTTATGCCGAATAGCAATGCAAACCATATAGAGCCAGGGCCCATCTGGTTGAGCCTCATTCAAAAGCGGCCACCCGTTCAACTCCCCTCCTGGATCCGCCCCAGGTTAGTCTTGGCCCCCATAAATTTACGCACTAAGATAAATTTCTTTCTCTGCTTTGACCTCTTCAATGCCATCTTAAATTGGCGAGGAGTTGATTATTGCCGACTATCTACCAAGATGTTCGAATGTGTCGGAGTGCCTACATGGCTCTTGTTCTTGGTACCATCATCTTTATCCCTATCTACGTTGCAGGTACTATCGTGATGACTCCGTCCGCTGTATATTATACATTGAATAAAAGCTGCGTTACAATTTTCAAATTTGATCTATTACCATATCTGCTCATAAATGATAGTACACGGTAAGAATGGAATGCCATGGGCTGATGAAAGATTGAACATTCGCGCATGATGGGACACAGTCCCAGTAACACTGTCGTTGCGATTAATAGAAGTAGATAGACGAAAAGTCACTGGCCCGGACACACACTCTCTTAAGATGATCCTCGTTCTACCAGGAAGGCGGATCAAGGGAATGGGCTGATTGCTCCAGAGCGATGGCAAGAGGAGATTTCTCAAAGATGCAATCACTCCCAGTTCCATGCCAGACGACCTTTTGTTTCTCCTGTTGATCGGGCTGTTCTTCCTTGCGCTCCCATTCCAGATCCTCAGCCCGCGCTGACCGGCTCGCTTGAGACTCATTTCCCACCATATGAGAAATTCCAGAGAAGTAACCAGTGGACTGTTCGCTTTCGTTATCAGTTCGGCTGGCCCGGTCATTGGGAGTAAGCACCCAGACCTCATTCAGGAATGCAATTGCCGCTTCCTCTTCGGCTCTGGCAGCTGCAACCGCTTCAACAAACCTGGTTCGAAACCCGGGCCGGGTGAGTGGCGTGGTAGTTGGCTGTTTGTCCCATTCTTCGCTTACCAACATCCATTCTTTCAGATACTCCTTGCGAGGCACTGGGCTCCATGCATGCTCGCACATCCACCATGGCCGTGTTGGGAGGGGAATCGGGCCGTCGAGGGGACTTTTGTCGTTGAGAATACCGAGGAGGATATTTTCCATCTTCTCGGGCATCGGGATTCGTAGAACGCCCGGGAAGCCGGGCACTGGGTAAGAGTCGAAGAGTTGGGCGATTCCGTTAGAGAATAGGCTAGGGTCCTGAGATTCAGCGCGCTGCTTTTCATGGTCTCCTGTCTGGAGGTGGGTTTCCTGGGGGTCATGACTAACCGTCTCTAGTCCTTGGGAGAGAAGAGTGTCAGCATCGGATACGTTCGAGGTTGCTGCTGCTGTCGTTGTGGCCGTTGCCGTCTTGCTCGAGGAGAGTCGAGGGATCTCGATGCTACCGATATCGGCTAGAGCTTCTTTGATCTTGGCGAGCTCGATGGTTTCCTGGGTGTGAGTTGGGGTTGTTGCTGGAGGTGAGTCATGAATGGGTGGGACGTAATCAGGGTCGAAGACCAGCTCAAAGGAGCTCATGGATTCAAGAGGATCGGCTGGTGGATTTCGACGAGCCTGAACCTTCTGCGGCTGCGGCGGTGGTTGTTGCTCGCTGGATGGACTGGCCGTCGGCTTCGTCACAGAAACCTGCGATGACTTGCGACGGTTGAAAACAGGGCGACGGCGCCCGGCTCGTATTCCCGAGGCGAACTGGGATTTCTTTGGAGCTTGTCGTGAAGTATAATCCCTTGGCTGCGGCTCATTCTCATTCTCATTCTCGTTTAAGCTGAGAGTCGGGGAGTGGGAGGGATTGCGGGTGATACTCCCACCATCGGGCTGCTCTAGAAGCAGCCGCGTGGTCTTGTTCGATTCGCCTTGAGGGGCGCTTGATTTCTTCAAGATAGGTTGAGGCATGGCCCTAGCTTCAGTTTGCTGTCGTTTCATCTCTGGTTGGGATACCGGTTGGGATACTGCGTAGGATGGCGAGCCAGTAATTGGGTAGTGTTCTGGATGTGCTCGAAACTGTGCAGTGTAGATGTGATTAGCACCTTAGGAAGTATGCGAGTTGAAGCTGGGGTGACGCTGAGAGGCTGGGAGGTTGGGTCGGGTAGGGTCGAGTGAGGTCGAGTGAGGTCCAGTGAATGTGTCATATTGGTGAGTGCCTACCTGGTGGGCCTGTTTGGTCTGAGGTTTCCCGGTCTGGCCA